AAATTGAAGTTAATTAGAAAAGACAAAAGAGAAGATAATAATGTGATTAACACTTACACGTCAAGTTCAAAATCAATAGAAACGGTTGCCCCTGTTGTGTTCTTGATTGCCTCAAGAGCGCTGCATTCATATGGTGGAAAAAAGTGCTTATAAATATAAATAAATTCACTTGATCAATAAAGCTTAATCCAAGCTTAACGTATTATGACAACGAGCCAATAAAAATTAAATTAAGGGTTCGTACGTGATTGATCATTGACAATGTGATTGTCTTCTTACATATATTATGGTACCAAAAAATGTAAAATTTTGATTGAATGATTTAGCATGTAATAGAAAATTTTCAGAATTAAAAATTGAAAAGTGTTATGTAGTTTTATTATCCAATTTTTATCATAATAAAAGAGAATTTCTTAAATATAAGATTATTTTCCTTAATTAACATATATATTTTGTAATTTGATGTAGTTCGAATGGTTTTGGAAATTCTATTTTTTAACAAATATACACACTAGATCAAGATCTTAGAAACCATGACTTTGAGGTTGAATTGAAATGAATAATAGATGGAAATTTTACTCATTGACACGGTTGTTAACAATGGCTGTGACTTCTTCGGGATGGGGATTGTAAGCCTCCAGGGCGTTCTTCCAAGCTTCTTCTGCTCGCTTCTGCCAAACCTCGTCGAATTCCCCAATGTCTGCTTTAATGCTTGGAATTAACGTCGCAATATTGAAGAAGATAAGAAAAACAATACTCAACTTAGCTACCTCCATTAATTTTTTTTTTTCTTTTTTTTTGGGTGATGGAAATAGCTTAGTTGGGATTGAACCTTTTGCGGATCTTGGTTCGGGCCCACCTAACCCAGAAAAACGAATTACTACGAAGCAATTCCTAACCTAACAACATAAAAATGGAGAGTATTTGGGTTGTGTTTAAATACAAGGTTTAAAAACTATAAATGGCCTAAATTAGAAGCGCATGGAGTGGAGAACCATTAAACACCAATGAACCAACATCCTCTTCCTATATATCACCAGAAACAGCAAGCAAATTCTCCTGACAAAACAAAGTTGTTTGGCTTGTGTCCGTATTTTTCTAAAACCAAACAAACTAACTACATTTATTAAAATTTTACTCATCTTAAATGTATCATATGTAGTGAAAGAAGGAGAAAAAAAAATTCTTCACTGCAGAAACTGTTGGAATTTTTTTACTATAAATATTTAATTTAATAGGTCAATTCATCAAGAGCTAGCTATATGAAATATTGGACAATTGATATGTCCCCAGACGCAGTTCAACAGATATGCTTGTAAAGGGAAATCTGCCCTCATTTCCTTTAATTAATTAATTGGACAACATGACTCATATTCTAATAAAAAAAAGGGGAGCAAATTTATTGAATTAGAAATTCAGAATAATCAGATTGCCTCTTTATGTGTCATGTTTGCATTAAGACTAACTATACTTCATGGCCACTATAATTAAAGTTAAGAGAAGAAATGGAAAAGTTTAATACCTTTATAATTTCATCAAACACACAAAAATGAAAAGTAGGGTGTAGGGGGCAAGACAAAGATTGGACATGAAGAAAGAGAGGATCAATTATTAATCTTCCCATCTGAAGTAAAAGAAAAGAGTGAAGAAAGGGGCATGGTTTTTATACGAACATTTTCAAACGTGATTTCATTACAACACAGTTATTCTCAAACTTTTTACCATTTTTAAGAAAGGAGAAATCTTCCCCTCATAAGACTGTTTGAAGCTCAGGACTTGCATTTTCTTCCTTTGCAATTCACTTCTTTACTCCCCAAAAACTTCAATGGAAAAATAAAATAAAATAAAATAAAGTCCCCAGGCAATCTAAATACTTAGATTGACCGAAAATACTTTCTCAACTAAGCAAGTAGAGTGTATTTGTCGGAATATTAGCATAAAAATAACTTCTTCTTTTTTGTACTCAACAATTTTTGTGTATTTAATTTGACTATTAGAAAAGTTTAAATCCTTAATTTTAATACCAAAATTTCATTTTTTAAAAATATTACAAGAAAAATAAAGATTCTTAAAAGTTATAGTAGGTCAAAAAGAAAGTGAATAATATTTATCAAAACTTTTTAACTTAGTTTTCATTGTTCTGTAGATTGATTGGAGAATCTCAGAGTAATTTTGTGCATGATCAAATTTTGGGAATTATTGCAAATCTTTTCTCTTTTTCATTTTGACTGAAAAAAAAAAAAAGGAAAAAGAAGGAAAACAATATAAATGAAGCTGCTTCTTATTTTATATTCAGATCGAGAAAAATTAACCCTAACGAAAAAAATATGTTTTTAGAGATAGCCTAGTACCTATCCAGCTTAACGTAACGAGAAGAAAACTAGAATCTGCGTCGCCTGTTAGTTCCTTGTAGTTGTCTGAAATATCACCATGCAGGTTTAGTATAGCATCTGACAACCATCACAACAGGAAAATTTACTAATATACAGTGAAAAGGCATTTTTGTTTCGATTTCTATAGTTGCCATGTTTTAGGTCATAGTGAACATGTTAAATTTTAAGTTGTGTCATTCATGACGAAATATTCGAGTAAGTTAATGATATAGAATATAAATATAGTCTAGCTCTAGGGGTCAAATTCAGAATTGACAAAACTTCTTAGCTAAGTTTCTTAAATCTGAAAAGAAATCATAACCGCTTCTCTATATATATATACGAGTTCTATTTGTCAGGTTTCCAGAGAAAAGAAGTAGATTTTTCTAAAACCATTCATTTACCATGATTTCTGATAAGGGTATCATACACATTGTTGAGGCAGTTGTCCCTTTGTATGTGTCCATGGTGTTAGCCTACATATGTCTGAAATGGTTGAAGTTGAAGTTCTTCACCCCTGAGCAATGTGCAGGCATAAACAAGTTTGTGGCTAAAGTCTCCATACCCTTATTGTCTTTCAACATGATTTCTGAAACCAACCCTTACAATTTACAAAATGAACATGAAACTCATCTTCTCCGACTTCATTCAGAAAATAATTGCAGTCACAATTTTAGCTGTCATCACCAAGTTCAGCTCCAGAGGTGGCTTGAAATGGATCATTACTGGCTTCTCACTAACTACCTTGCCTAACACTTTGATCCTGGGAATTCCGGTGTTGAAGTCCATGTATGGGGATGAATCTGCTTCACTCCTTGCGCAATTAATCCTGTTATAAACTTTGATCTGGTATATTTTGCTACTGTTTCTCTGAGTTCAATGCCATAAAGGCAGCTGTGGAGATTGTGCCTTCAGATGTCACAGCAGGTAGACATTTTCTTGAATAGCAATGGAAAGCATAGGTTAATTCAATATCAAACTTGTTTGGTCAACTTTGTTCCCTTCTTTTTCCTTCTAATCTTTTCTTTCACAGTTGATACATCTTCGAGTAAGATTCTTCCTAGAAAACTCATTTTCCAGGGAAACAAACACTGTTGTTTTGTTTCATGGAGTAATTCATGTCATATTATATATATTAACTAACAATTTCCATATCTCATCTTGATGTCTTAATTAAGAGGATCAAGAGGCTCCTCAGCAAACAGAAGTGCAAAATAGAGGATGAGAGTGAGGAGGCAGCAGAAACCAGACCAACACCAAGACCAAGGAAGATGGGGAAAAAGTTCATTTTCATGACATTGGGGAAGAAGCTTATAATAAATCCTAATACACATGCAACCTTTGTGGGTCTAATTTGGGCATGCATAAAATACAAGTGTGACTTAAGAGAAATCACCGATAATTAAAGGTGATGAATAACTAATTTGCCAATTGCTGAAGAATTAAAGCTATGAGGCTTGAGATTTTTGCACGTTGCAAGTAAAACTGCTTGCAATCATCAACCAGTCAATATTGATATTAGCTGATGGAGGGCTTGGCATGGCATTATTCAGCTTAGGTATGGTGAACTAAACTACGATCAACTCCTCTTTGTGAAATAAATTTTGTTCTTGTTTAAGTAGTGATGAAATCTAACTTTTCAGGCCTTATATGGCATCCCGGCCGAACATAATAGCATGTGGGATCAAAATGACAATTTTTAGCATGGTGTTGAGATACATTGCAAGTCCTCCTGTTCTGATGTTAGTGCCTTCCTATGCCCTTAGACTAAAAGGCAACGAGTTCAAAATGGCAATTGTGAGGTGAGAAAAATTTCATTTCTTCAATCTAAAATCATAATTATATTCATTAAAATGAAGCTTAAGTTGATAATATGATCAAAATGGATTTTCGGGCTGCTCTTCCTCAAGGAATTGTGCCATTTGTGTTTGCGAAAGAGTATAATGTTTATCCTGATGTCGTAAGCACCGTGTATAATTATCAATCTCAAGTCCTCTTATTGTCTTTATATAGGTTCCAGAAATTGATAATGACATATATATCTGGTTGTTGTTTTGATTGCAGGGTAAGCTTTGGCATACTCATTGCATTGCTCGTGGCATTGTTGTACTACCTTCTGCTAAGCTCCACCGGAATTCTAAGAAGGCAAGAGCACAAAATTCCTTACCTAATTAAGGTCTATGGTATATTTAATGCCAAACAAAAATAAAAATGTTAATAGTTAGAGGGAAAGGTGCCACGTATGGATTATGGAAGCAGTCTTATGTAGCTTATAAGATTGTGTAAATGTTATGTGGCTTATTTGATATTCTTTGGCATTCATTTATGTATTTAACATACATAATATTTATGCACCCACCTGGTAAAGCAAGTGGAAGAATCACTTACTCGTGTTTGAGTAATTTTCTCAACTCCCTATCCCTGCCAACACACCCTCCTACACTTTAGGAAAATAGTTAAATGTAATTGCCTAATTTCAAATAAAAAAAGAAAAGGGCATATCAAATGTTGGTCTATATACATGAGATGATCTCCGCTATCCAAATATCTCTCTCATCTCTATATATATAACGTAATCAAAAAGTATTTTATAATTCAACATATACTAAACTGTCAAATATTACTCATTTCATTTAATTTTAATATATCTAGTTTTTTATTTGAGGTATTTAAATTTAATTATCTACTTTTTCCTTTTAGGATACCATTTAATGCATTTATTCTTATTTTACCCTCATTTAAAAAGATAATTGCAACATATATTAAATAAGAAATCTTATTTCAATAATACTTAATTAAGAATAATTATAAAAATTTATCAATAAATTATTATATCTTTATTTTATTAAAAAAAAAACTATATCTACTAAAAAAAACCATATCTACTAAAAAGTAATAGAGGGAGACTCTCAAAGCATTTGTTACTCCATTCATAAAATTTAAATTCGATCTTAGTTAAAAAGAATTAAACTCTTTTTATTCGGATCAATGAATTATTGATACAGATATAGTAATCATTAAATTAAGAAAGCTTCTAATATTAGGAGAAGACTGTATTTTCCCGACCACTACATACCATACTCATAACTTATAATATTTTAAATGGATAATAATTAATATATCATCTAATTTAACATATTTCATAATATATTTATTAAAAAATTATTATTTTTAAAATTAAATTAAAAACAAAAAAAATTTAAAGATGTAAATTTTAATAATTAACCCAATAGGTATTTGTAAATGTATTAGACGATTAAAGTTAAATATACCAATCATTTTCTTTTTATAAATGGGAAATGATTTTTATACAATTTTTTTTTATTTTTTTGTACAACTTGACATGTCATTAAAATTATTGATTCTTTTAATTTATATAAGATTTGTGATATTGAATGCATCAACTCAATTAATGACATGTACAAGTTATATGAAAATATGATATAAAAATATACCATTCTTTATAAATACATAATTTCTTATCCAAACTAGAAATAAATAAATGAGTGTATAAAATAAGGAAAATAGCAAATAAATGGAACTTTGGACTCTTCTAGAAGTTTCAGGAAATATCATGTTATTTTTATGTAATTTTCTCTGGCGGCAAAAATAAAGGTTTTGAAAGTTTTGGGATAATCAGAATTTTTAATTTTTGGTAGGAAATCTCATCTTTTTCCGCGAAAAATAGAAAAAAAAGAAATAAAAATAAAAACAATAGAATTATCACGTTGTTTGATTGACCAAACACCACGTGTTTCGGAGTATATTACATTTACGGTCAAAACCGCAGGAACCGACGGCCATCTACATCCAACGGTCCAAATCATTTTCCTTTTAAAATTGTAAAAAAAAAAAAAAAAAAAATACCCGAAATGAATGGGAATATTAGGGCTTTTCCGACTCCACTTATTTATTTCTCCATTTTCTTCTCATTGCTTATTCAGGTCTCCCCTCCTCCGATCGACATCCGTACGTCCGCCGGAAAATCATGGGCAAGGGTCCAGGTCTTTACACCGAGATCGGCAAAAAGGCCAGAGGTAAGTATACGAACGTGGGTATATTTGAATTTGTATACTTGCATTCGAATCTTTGCTATGAAATTGCTTAAATCTCTGTTGAATGTTTGTAGATCTTCTGTACAAGGACTACCAGAGTGACCACAAGTTCACCATCACCACCTACTCTCCGACTGGTGTCGTGAGTTCTTTTTATCCCTTTCTAATCTGGTTTTTGCATTTGTAGACTTCAATTTAATTGTTGTTTTCTGGGTTTCGTTCGATTCTGATGGTTGGTTATGCCTCTAAATTTTGTTTTTTTTTAAAAAAAAATTCTGGGTAATTGGTTAATGTGTGAATATCTCTAAATTGATTTGGTAATTTTCAGGCAATCACGTCCACTGGTATAAAGAAAGGTGATCTGTTTCTGGCTGATGTGAACACCCAGCTGAAGAAAAATAACATCACAACTGATATCAAAGTGGACACTGGGTCCAATGTGAGTATATTTTCTTCCAAGATTTTAGCTGTTGATTTCAAAATTGTTGGAAAGACTTGTAATGGTCCTCTGTGCTATTTAGTGTGCTATTTAGTGTGCTATTACCTGTAGTGACATTATGGTTATGGATTGTAGTTATGACCCATTTCCTTATTTTAGTTTTTAATGGTAGAAGCATGGCTGATAAGATAGAGGATGACAGGAAGTTACAATTAGAGATTCTCTCTGTTATATCTAAATTAAACCTTGTAGAGAATTATCTTTCTGTGAATGGGTCAGTTCTGTATCTTTTTTTTTTTTTTTTTTTTTTGTGTGTTGATTTTTCTGTCTTATTCACAGGTAGACTCTTGTTTTGAATGTTGTTCCTTTTGTTAAATGTGTTTATATTTTGCCAGCTTCTTACCACCATTACTGTTGATGAACCTGCTCCTGGGCTGAAAACAATCCTTAGCTTCAGGCTCCCTGATCAGAGGTCTGGCAAGGTAACCCACTTAATCTTTAGGACTCCTCTTGTAAACCTCAATGTTGATCTTTTGCCTGAGGAATATTTTTGTATTTGAAGACAAAAGCTAAGTTTTTGTCTATTTGTGATCATGTAACAGGTTGAACTCCAGTATTTGCATGACTATGCTGGGATCAGCACAAGTGTTGGATTGACAGCAAATCCAATTGTTAACTTCTCTGGTGTGATTGGAAGCAATGTTCTTGCACTTGGTGCTGATCTTTCATTTGACTCCAAGACTGGAGATTTCACTAAGTGCAATGCTGGATTGAGCTTCACCAGTGATGATCTCATTGCTTCATTGACACTGTGAGTAGTTTGTTCTGCATTTATAGGATAGTTGGCCCTGAGCTATTTGAATATTTTGGTTAGTGAAATAATGCATTACATTTTTTTTTTCTGTAATGCAGGAATGATAAGGGTGAATCTTTAAGTGCCTCCTACTACCATATGGTGAGCCCCTTGACTGCCGTTGGTGCTGAGGTAACCCACAGTTTCTCAACCAATGAGAAAGCCCTCACTTTTGGAACTCAGCACTCGTGGGATCCATTGACTGTGCTGAAGGCAAAGGTGAATAACTCTGGTAAAGCTAGTGCTCTTGTCCAGCACGAGTGGCGACCAAAATCTTTTCTCACAGTATCAGGAGAGGTTGATACTAAGGACATTGGAAAGTGCACCAAGGTTGGATTGGCTTTGGCCCTCAAGCCCTGAGCTATCCACGTCATTTTGGAATTGAATGTTAGGTCTCAAGGGTGCATTGTAAGTCTGTTCCAACTTACTTTTAAATCTTTTATTTCGCCCCAGCAACTTCTTCATCGTTACTCTTGAGTTGTAAAATAAAAAAACCAAATTGGAGATGGCATGGCGATATAAACCAAAGCCTTCACTTTCAAAACTGGCCCATGTTTTACCGAGGAGAAATACTCGTGCCTTGTTTCAAGAGTTCTGAATTTTTCAGATTTTGTTCCAAATTTTATGATTTATGATGATTTACGATGTCATGAAGCTTCATTATTGCTTGAACTTAATTTAACAGATTGAAAAATCAAAATGTAGGGTTCCTGCATCTTCAAAGCGTAAAGGAACAATCAGAATATGAACTCAAGTAAGAACGTAATTCAAAGCCAGTCATGGTCAACTGGTCATATACCCAAGTTGATCCACCAATGTTTGCCCAATAAGTTAAGTTTTTCGAACATTATCTACAGCTACGTTAAGCTCCTTTTCAGAAAACTCCCAGGCATTCCAATTGGTAGTTGATTTCTCCAGTTTAATGCCATTCACAGTGGCATACTTAGTTATTGTTCCCTTAATGAGATATGGAGCCTTTAGAACCTTGGCAGCCAAATGACCCAGATCAACCATACCTTTGCACTCTAGATCACCAAATTTGCTTACTCCATCTACATAGATGGAATAGTTTTCGTTTTCCAGAACTCTCCTCTTTCCATAAGAAACAAAGGAAATTGTCTCATGAGCCAAAAACTCCCTCAGGCTGTGAGGAATGACATCCAAATAGTCCAACTTAACTACAAGGCAGTGAGTTTCAATGTACAGAATGACCCAACTTGCACTTCTTCGAGGGATTAAATGGTCTTGGTCGTAGCCGAATGAAAACTTAACATAAAGGGCAACAAAATACCTTTGTCCAACCTAAGATCGAAACTCAGAAATGCTTCTGTTAATGAAGGAAGCTCTATCTGCAACATATGTTTCTACTTTCCCACCTTCAAATTCGATATCAAATGTGCTCAGCATGGAGAGTCTCTCCTCTATGAAGTTCATCTTGAATGCTTCAACTTCGCCTTTGTGGTGAGTACTTCTGAATGCACATCCTGTTTATATAGAACAAGAGGAGGTCATGTAATATCACCAAAGTTGCATTGAGAAATGTATGACTAATTAAGGGTGAGAGGACCTAAGAGTTGCTTATCCCAAACTAAAGAGATTTCTAGATTCTTGAGTCAATTCCCTCCGAGTGGTAGGTAATTTTGAATCAATGGTAGCCAACAAATCCATACAATAGGAGTAATTTTTATTAACTTGAATTGGTATATATTCAATGATTTGATATTATACAGTTGTTGTGAGAGTTTATTATCAACATATATTGTCAAATAGTATTAATAAATTAATTCTGATGAAATTATTTATGAGAAACAATACCCTTCCATGAAAAAAAAAAGGAGAGAAATCAAAAGCATGTTATTCTAGAATTAGGGTTGGGCAAACGGTTGATTAATCAAATGAGTAATTAAAAATCGATGAAAAATTAATTAAATGGTTAGTTATAAATAGTTATTGGTTATTTTTTAAAAATTTTAGTTAGATAATCAAAAAAATTTAGTTGGTTAATAGTTAGAAATTTGAAACCAAAACCAAGTATATAACCAAAAAATAAAATTTTATATTAATAAATAAATAATTATTATTGAAATACTATAAATAAACATAAAAATTATCTTATTCAATTTCATTTTCAAGTTTTACCTTGTATTTAAATTTAAAATATATCTAAAAGTAAAAGAAAATTAAACTTCAAAATTTATATTTTACGCTTATTTATCTTTTTTTTTTTTGCATTTTATTATATTTATATCCCTTAAAAATTTTAAATTTTGGTTAATTATAGTTATTATTAAATTTAAAATAGGCATTTAATATTAATTTGATTAAAACCAATAATCAAAATATTAAAATTAATTATTTTAGTTATCAAAACGAAAATCCTTAAATATTTTTAGTTTGACTTTGATTATTAAAAATGGAAAAAATAAAAAGTAGACAGTTTAAATATTGATTTTAATTAAACCAAAATCAATCCGTAGCCAGCCTTATCTAAACATCAACATTAAAACCACTGTACAGAATCCTCGAACCTGAATGCTGCAGAAGGTAGGCAGGGTGAAGGTACCAGGATGGATTGATTGTGTGCATGTTTATGATTGTGACGCCCAACAAACATCACTAAAGAGAAGAAGGTGATGTGTTAATCCACTAAGATTCAAGATGGATCATCATCATGTGATTTGATATGAAATTTGAAGCGGTACTGCAATTCAATCTTCTCTGAAAATGACCTCGTTGGAAAATGGGTAATCATCTTTTCCTTCTCTTTTTCTTTCCCCATTTTCCACCACCTCTGGAAGGTTATTCACGTTTTCCCCCCAAGGGACCTTAATGAAAAGATAATGGTATAATGTAAAAGAGATTTTCCACGCTTTACTTTTGCAAAGAAACGACCATTCATATTTAATAATGGAGAAAAAGAGTTACAATTACAACTTGCAACGTGCAGCAACACCCTGTGTTTATAAGAAGGTTTTCAAATGGTTTTTTTTTTTTTTTTTT